TAAAGGCAGAGACAACCTTAGTAGGGCACTATGAACAATACACTGTTACAATCCAATTAAAATTAAAGCATCTTGATTTAATAATTATAAATATTTATCTTCCACGAGTTAAAACACGATTCCAAATTAAACATATTTGGACAGAATTGGAACAATATATATATATAATCTGCTTTTAAAATTCCCCCATACACATTTTGTGATCCTGGGTGACTTAAATGCCAAAAATTGGCCCTAATAATGAAGCATTGGTAGCCAAATTCCCTTATTTACCTGCCAAACCTTGGGCAAATGGATTGTATGACAGACAGTTTAAAGATCAGAACATCAGCTATGTGGGTTCTTGTTTAGCCAGTCTTTGTAATGGTAAACTTAACAATTTTAAATGGTACAATGGTACATGATCATCCTGGTGAATTCATGTTGATTTGTGGGTGGGGAGCATATTATTTAACATAAACCAATTTATTTCTCTTGATCACATTATGTAATGTCAGCTTCAGATCAGATAATGATAATCTATAATTTTAAGCTTGTAAACCAATGATAAAGATGTTTGTTTGACCCAATATTATTCTCTGAATGTTTTTCAGGAAGGCAATTTATATTGCAGGATTGGCAGAACATTTAAATAATTATTTGGCTACAGTTTTAAACTCTACTCAAGCTTTAGATTTTAGATCATATATAATAAAAAATGGGAGTTCTACAGAAAAAAACAATTTCTTTTAATACTCTAACAAATTTAATCAGTAAACTTCTAGTATCTGGAGCATCCACTGCATCAAATCAAAGAAATACTCATCTGAGTATTACTTCAAGTTGGTTTGATGCAGACTGTGTCACTAAGCTTTTTTTTTTCTAAGCTAAGAAAAAATTAAGAGCTCTATATTTAGCATACAGAAAACTAATTTACAACAGCCTCCTTTAAGATATTATGAATTGAAGAAAAATTATAAGATAATATATCAGAAGAAACAGAAAGCAAAGAGATTCCTGATCATTATTAATAAATGCTTCTCTGTATAAAGATTCCAAAACTTTTTGGAAATTAATTTCCAGGGCTTTCACTGCTCCCTCAGTCCTGGATTGCTGTATACCATCCAAGACCTGGGAAAAATATTTTAAATCAATGTTTATGGACCAGGGAAGTATGTCGCAAATATAGCATACAATATTAGATTAAAGTTATTTACCCTTCCACAGTGGGAACAAGTGTTAGAGAAAGAGATTGTTGAACTTATAATCAAAAGTAAAATCTGGCAAGGCTCTTGGCCAGGACAATATACCTCTTGAACTCCTTAAACAAAATCTAGATTGGTAGGGCCCTTTATTTGTGGCCCTATTCATGCAATAGATAGCTCTGGTTTAATCCCCTCAGGCTGGAATAGGGCTATAATAGTCCCCTACTAAGAAAAGAGATACAGAAAGCCCTGCCAGTTATAGGGCTATCAGTTTGCTATCAGTCCTGGGCAAACGTTATGCAAGACATTTAAATGGAAAATTAACTTTTTACCTTTAGGAACATTTTGTTCTAACAAAGCTCAGGCTGCTTTTAGGAAATGCAGATCAACAACTGATCAATCTAGCAAGGAAATATTCTATTTTCCTGAGAGGCAAACTTTTTGCTGCTTTTATAGATTTTAAAGCCACTTTTCATTCTGTTAACAGAACCAAACTTTGGGCTAAATTAGAGAATTTGATTCCTGATTGGCGTTTTACATATCTAATACAGGCTATTATCAAGATAGTATAATGCAAGTTAGAACAGAAAAGGTTCACTTACAGACAATATTACAATGAGGAAGAGAGAGAGACAAGGCTGCATCCTGGCCTCTACACTATTTAACATATATATCAATTATTTGGAGGCCACATTACTTCAGGTTGAAGGCCATTGTTCATCATTAGCCAAAAGGAAAAGTTGTGGTTTATTATATGTGGATTATGTTGTTCTTTCACATACTAGACTGGGTCTGAAACACCTACTCGAGGCACTAGTTAAGTATTGTCAAGAAAATCAATTACAAGTTAATTATGATAAAACTAAAATTTCAGTTTTTGAAAAAATAAAATTAAAAGTATATCTGGAAAATTTAAGATCACATAATAACAGAAATATAGAATTTTAATTCTTTGAGCATTCTATTTAACCATGCTCTAACCTGGCAACATAATTGTAAGACAATACTTCTGAAAGCAAAATCTACTATGGCAGCCTTGCTTCAATATTTTTACTCAAAAGGAAGAAGATTTGTTCCTGCAGCAATAAAAGTTTTTAATGCCAAAATTGCATCTCAGATTTTATATGGAGCTCCAATTTGGATCACATTTGCTAATAATAACTTAGCACAATTGCAGGTGAAATTTTGAAGATCTTGTTTTAAGTGTCCCAAGCTGTGTTCTGAATTCTGTTATTCTCTTGGAAACTCGGCAATGCCCTTTGTAAACAAAAGCTTGGTTAAGCACTATTAAGTTTTGATTGCAAATATAAATTTTTTAAAAACAAGAAAGGATTGCTTCAGGAAATCCCAAATTCTTGGTCAATATGTGGTTTAAACAGGTGACTCAAAAGATTAGTCAGATTGGCATGGATCCTGATTATTTATTTTCCAAGGGTATGTCATCAGCATGTCGTATCTTTCTTTGATACAATGTTTGTTTTAGACATTCATTCCTGTACTAAATTATCTCAGTCTTTATGGGATAATGTAGTACAGGAATTAATGGCTAAAGCCAAAGTATCATGTTCACCTGTAACTTTTGGAATGAACTACAGATGCATTTTTCAACTTCCTAAATATTTAAATAGCTTATATTTAAGCAAATACAGAATAGCCTTTCAAAAGCCAGATTAAACATGTTGCCATCAAATATGCTATATGGTAGATTTCAAAAAAATTCCCATCTCTCAAAGATTTTGTCCCTGTAATGGTATTGATCCTGAAATGGTGGACCATACTTTATTGTGTTGTGAATTTTATAAGCGTCATTGGCAGGAAGCTATCTGGCAGGAAGAGATATTTCTGAGTATGTAAAATTTTTACTTGCAGATGAAAATCCTAAGACTACGGTGGCAACAGCCAGATTATTAACTGTGGCTATAAAAACAAGGTTTTTAATAACAAATCAATGAGTTGGGTTTTTAAGTGTATTGTGTAATATTGATTAAATATTTTATTTGTTAAACTGTTTTATCTAATGCCAAGTTTAGATTATATTTGTAACTTGCTTCTGGGCCTTTTGGCCATAAATAAAATTGAAAGCATTGTATAAATCGAAGCTTCTGAAATGTGAGTTTTGATCCGGACCCATGAAACTCTGCAACTGGGCCCTCTCCGTTGGTGTCAAAGGAAAAACGTGGTGGCAGCTGACTCTCAGTGCCTTACTCGGAAGTAGAAACTGGGAGATTGCGAGCTCTATTCCCTGATTGGGCGCAGAAGTCGGCTGGGTGACTCTGAGGCAGTTGCTCTCTCTCTCTCTCTCTCTCTCTCAGCCCAACCCACCATGCAGGGTTGTTGCTCTGGGGAAAATAGGGCAAGCCATTAGGGACACTGCCTCAAGTTGCACAAAATAAAGGTGGAACATAAATCTGTTTTTTAAAAAATAAACAGACAAAACCCACAAGATTGATAACCCAGGGTCAGATTCATGATCAAAATATGGATATGATGATAAGGGTGAAGCTCATCTCCTGGTGAATAGATATGTATGTAGTTTCCTTGGCCAGGAGGTGGTTGGCCATTGGGAATTCTCTCCCAGTTCCACCTTGGATTTCCTGGTGGTGTCTTATCCAACCCTGATCCTGCTTCAGTTCAAAATCTATAGCAGGTGGGTCAGATGCTGCCTTTTTCTGCAACAACGGAGAAGACAGATCCTGTGAACCACGCGAGACATGCAGAAAATAAGAGTCAGACTTACTGTAAGTGGTGATAACCTCCGAGATTCAAACCGGAGCAAAGAGAGCAAGAGAAGCCAAGAGTTTTTTTAACAGGCTTTCTCTGTCAGAACAGGTTTTCGTTGGGAAAGCGACTATATTCTCAGCTGAGGTGTGGGAAGCTACTTTTCTGGAGAGAGTCTAAACTTTCCCCGTCAAG